CACCAAGTTAGATGTTACAGTACATACCGTGTTGGATGTTACAATACGCACCAAGTTAGATGTTACAGTACATACCGTGTTGGATGTTACAATACGTACCAAGTTAGATGTTACAGTACATACCATGTTGGATGTTACAATACATACCATGTTGGATGTTACAGTACATACCGTGTTGGATGTTACAGTACATACCGTGTTGGATGTTACAATACATACCATGTTGGATGTTACAGTACATACCGTGTTGGATGGTACAATACCATACCAAGTTAGATGTTACAGTACATACCTTGTTGGATGTTACAGTACATACCGTGTTGGATGTTACAATACTGTACCAAGTTAGATGTTACAGTACATACCTTGTTGGATGTTACAATACGTACCAAATTAAATGTTGCAGTACATACCGTGTTGGATGTTACAATACATACCATGTTGGATGTTACAATATGTACCAACTTAGATGTTACAATACCGTACCAAGTTAGATGTTACAGTACATACCTTGTTGGATGTTACAGTACATACCGTGTTGGATGTTACAATACGTACCAACTTAGATGTTATAATACATACCTTGTTGGATGTTACAATACATACCAAGTTAAATGTTACAGTACATACAGTGTTGGATGTTACAATACGTACCAACTTAGATGTTATAATACATACCGTGTTGAACGCTGGAATACATACCGCGTTATATCTTACAGTGCATACTAGGTCAAATACATAGTTACACCGAATAAGATGCTGAAATACATAGTTACACCGAATAAGATGCTGAAATACATAGTTACACCGAATAAGATGCTACCATACGAACCATGTTAGATTTTAATATAACATGTCGATGCTACAAAACACAACGTGGTAGGTGTTATAAACTCTGATTTAATAATACCGAGTTAGATGCTAATTTAATTCTGTAACAAGTACACTTTTTGATGCTACAATACAGTAAACCTGTCTTATCTCAGTTCCGAAAAATTACACTTGAAATATTCTAAAACTAAAACACGTAAATGACTGAAAATCTTTTCTTGGTTTTTGAAATATATAATTTCTGTTCTTCAATTGTGTTACTCTTGAAAATATCATAAAACTTGACATGAACTTGTACATTTTGATATTAGACAAAAGAATTATTCATTCAAATATTTAACACGACAATTTACATACGCATTCAAACTATTGGAAAACGAAGTAAAGTGTTTTACATTTCAAACATTTTAGTGAAACACTAAATAACAAAATTGTTATGCAATGTTAAGTTGACCAATTTAAGTCGAAAGTTAGGTAAAAATACGTCTACAGAACAATCTGATGACGTTACTTTTAATTATTCAAAGTTCGTTCTTAATGTACTGAAAATAAAGTTATTGTTCATGGTTGGATATATGATATTATGAATAAATTAAGATAATTTTGTACAGTCTGAACAGTTTTTACAATTATTGTCACATCACCTAATGTGGTCTAATTCTGGTTAATCGTTTAATAATATTGTCACTCATATTAGTGGTACAGCGTGGAATTAAATGACTTACTAAGTGATAGAATACATGTTATTATGTACTATTGTTAAATGGCCCTGCACTGTTTGTGTAATGAAGGTACCCACGAGCTTGAACAACATAGGCAACTTCACGGAATTTGTAAAAGTCTTCAGCCTTATAGGAACAGAAATGGTGGAACTAGCGTACACGACTGGAGATAGAGTTCACGTGAGTACTAATTAAACAGTAGCTCGTAAAGCTTAGTTTAACACTTCTAGAATTAGAACAAAAATAAGAATATATTCTAGTGATCTTGGTGGGACGGATCTCCAATATGCTTTCAAAACTGAACAGTTATTGCTATCTAATGATGGAACAAGTTGACAATCCCAGGAGTTTCGCCACTGGACGTTGACCACATATTAGGAGACATATTAGGTATGGTAGAGTTCCTTTATTGATACTGCCAGTGGCTTTATTCTGTTTTATTGATTTCCCATCTTTTGTTTTTCCTAGCGATACCATACGGTACTTTTTTTTTCAGTACCATTTTCTGTGAATATCGATAAAAGTATTTCTATGGTTGCCATCTTTACCTTACTATTGTATAGAAGGTCGACATCCTACCAACACAGTTGGGGTGGATTTGATAAAGTTCCTCTTGTGCTAGTTTATCAATTTTCTTTTTATCTTTACCCATACTCATACATGCAGGTCTTGGTCTTATCATTCAGTTTTTTTTGCCATCTATACTGGAATGTATTCATTATTGCCTGTTAGTAAATTGTAAATATTATGTTGCTTTCACCAGTTGCTTTACGGCTTCCAGTTCCATATTTGTGCTGGTTCTAGAAAGTTTGAATGCGCCATCCACTTTTTGTAAAATGTTGTTGCTCTGCAAGACAAATGAATGCTAAAGTGGTTCTCTAACTACTTTTATGTAGGAACTATTTGTGGCTATGATGACAGTTGATTGTCCACCACGTTCTTTAAACAGATTTTAAAATCATATTTCTAGTTCACCTTCTACCCAACCTCTACATTTTCTTTCTAGGCTAATTTCCGCAAATCTCAGTGACATCAGATGTTTATTCTACATGGAAGGTGTCTGAGACTTGAAGGTGACCAATTATCTCAGAGATGACTGTATAGCACCCACGACCATTTGTTGAGGGAAGGTTAAGAAACCTCTTGACTGGCAGATGTCTGCAGGATAGTTGTGGAGTTATAATGTCCCAATTAAAAACGGTAGTGGCTCGTTGATGGAGTGCACATTCTTTAAACTGCAAGGTCCTGGTGAAGACGTTTGCTTGTGAGCACTGTTGGTGTTCTGTGATGTTGTTGAGGTGTAATATATGGGATGGCTGAAGTATATCCCGTGACCAGTTTTAAACAGGTGTTTTGTATCTTTTCAACCTTATCATTCACGATTCATAATCTAGGACAGAGAATTTGGTACAACATAAAAAGGTGACTATCTTCACTTTCGGTGTACTGATGTCTTTGGTAGTTCTAGTTAACATGGTTTTAACGTGGCTGGTGACTTTCTTAACGTGGCTGGTGACTTTCTTCACTTTCGGTGTACTGATGTCTTTAGTAGTTCTAGTTAACATGGTTTTAACGTGGCTGGTGAATTCTTCGCTTTCGGTGCACTGATGTCTTTGGTAGCTCTAGTTAACATGGTTTTAACGTGGCTGGTGAAGCTCAGTTGTCCATCAAAGGTTACTCCTATGTTCTTAAATGTTTCTTCCACACTAAGAGAAGTACCTGCAGAGGATGATGATGGCTTATCCTCATCAGCATGTATGTTGTAGTGTGCAAAATAAGGCATGACTTTTTTAGGAGTGACAAGTCGAATTTGTTGCACCACCAATATCTCGCTGCTAAGGGATGATTGTACCTTGCTTTAAATTTCAGATTTGGTAGAGTCTCTGTTGTACACCAGAATGTCATTAGTGAAGATGAAACACAGCAACTGGGTTGACTGTCAATGGGAGCTAGCTAAATCCATGGTGTAGATGTTAAAGACGACTGGCATGTGTGGTGATCTACTGTTGTAGATGGTAATCTAATGTGATTGCCAGCTTCTATCTTTCATGATGCATCCTTTGATAGTAAGTGTAGCTATAACCCATCTTACATGTGTTAAACTGATCCCTGTTTGAGGATTTTTTCTGCAGGAGTAAGCAGTTTAATTCTGTAGTAGCAATATTCTATATCTAAAGCTACTATCAAAGTGTTCTAGCCAGTTTCAAACCCTTCCTCTGTATCAGCTGCATTGATCCAGGTTTTTCTTCTACTGTAGTATCCACTTAATAATGATGTCAGAAGTGGTTCAGTCTGATAGGCAAGCTTTCTAGCTACAGGCTTCTCTGGGATCTTGCCAATGATACCTATAGGACAATGACTTCATGGACTTTAAGAATACTGAGTCTTGGATTTGGGTAGGGATTTGATACAAATATCAGTCCATATTTCAGGGATGTTACCTACTGCCCACTTATGTTGGCATTTCAACACTATTTTAAAAAAGTTGGCTTATGTGAGATACTTTGAGGTGGATAAACTATTTAGGCCTGGAGCACCATCTTTAGATGTGTTTATGGGTCTGTATATTTCATCCATACTCAATGGATTCTTATAGTTTGAGTTTCTCCTACATGTCACCGTGTTATATAATTACAGTTAACGAACTTTGATACAATAAAATTGAGCCCTTGAGCCACAGTCAGACTGTAAACTAACACATACAAGATAACTTGTACTAAACCTACATAGATATTTAAGGACAATGTATTTATGCCTATAACCTAGCATTAGATAGCAGTGTAATGAATCTATGTAATCATGTGTTATATACTACTAGTTAAAACATGTGACAGTTAGATAATGAAGAACATTAAGAATCTAAAGGAGTCCCACCGCTCATATCACCAGTGGGCAGTCTAGGTGGTGCATTTCCTCCTCCACCAATCACAGGGAAACAACTAACAAGCAGCAACTACCTATATCTGATTGTTTGAATGTGTATCTAATTAATTTATTAACATTATAAACAAGCAGCAACTACCTATATCTGGTTGTTGAATGTGTATCTAATTAATATATTAACATTATAAACAAACAGCAACTACCTATATCTGGTTGTTGAATGTGTATCTAATTAATTTATTAACGTTATAACAAGCAGCAACTACCTATATCTGGTTGTTGGATGTGTATCTAATTAATTTATTAACATTATAACAAGCAGCAACTACCTATATCTGGTTGTTAAATGTGTATCTAATTAATATATTAACATTATAATTAATATCATGATATTAGTTTTGTTATATCACCAATCACCCAGTACAATAAGATAATTAAAATAACTGCTTCTGCTACTATTCTACACCAGCCAGTCACAAGACGATTAAGGAAACAATATGTGTTTTAAAATATAGCTACTGAAGTAACGTGTTTTACAATGTTAATTTCAAAAGTTAGTATTGTACGAAACAATCCATCAAAATTTGGGATTGGAACTAGCTGATCCTCACTTGGGAATCAGAGAACTTGGCATCGGCCTTCCCCATTAATCCCCCGTTAATAACTCAGCGTTCTACTGAAAGAGTTCTTTAAACAACAGCATTTAAGCAGTAGAATTGTTATGACTGAGAAAAACAACCAAGCAAATTCCCGTTTTTCTAATCCTCAAGTTATGTAATATATTAAAGATGTATAGTGTATTATGACCAAAAATGATATTGTCATTAAATGTGTATGAAAAATTATGTTCTACATTAAAAACTAATAGCAATATTATCATAACTTAATATATATACAAGTTTGTTTGTAATTAAGCACAAAGCTACACAAAGGGCTATCTGTGCTCTGCCCACCACGGGTATCGAAACCCGGTTTCTAGCGTTGTAAGTCCGCAGACATACCGCTGTGCCACTGGGGGACATATATATATATATATATAAGAGTCTAATGTCCGTCTGTCCGTAAAAACTTCTCCCACAATTAAGTGGGATTTGGATGAAACTTCGCATGTTTTTAACATCATTATGGGGAAGTTCCTGACAAAGATTCATTATAAACGGGTCTCTTATAAAAAAGTTTAATTGGTACACGTGTCCACGTTTTTTTAAGAAATAAGTCGATAACAGCTTTGTATCGCACCAGAATGTATAATTAAATGTTATAAAAT